TCAATAGGGAGCTCTGGTGGCATAGTGCCTAAGGCATTTGACTGCTAACCAGAAGGCTGGCAGTTCAAACCCACCAGCCACTCCTCAGAAGGAAGGTTGGACAATCTCCTTCTATAGAGATACCGCCTCGGAAACCCAAGGAGGGGTCACTATGAGTCAAATCAACTTGACTCGACGGTAGTGAGTTTGGTTTGGTTTGAAATATGTGGGAAGAAGAAATTCAGTTTGTCATTCTCCACCCCACCCCACTTCTAAAGGCAGAGTTTGAGGGTAATAACTGACTCTACATAAAACAAAGATTAGGCCTTAAGTATCCAAGACTAAGCTGAACATGGAAGTACGATGTCCCCTACCACAAACTGACTCTGTCTGGGCTGACAGAGGTTCTCACTTGTCCAAGGGCAGGGAAAGGAATACATGATTTAAGGAGTCAAGGGAATCTGGCCTGGGAAGAAAACAGTAGTTATAAGACTAAAATTGTGTGATGGGGAAGGACTACCTCATTTTCAGCACTGTGGCATGTACAGTTTGCTTTGTGCCCCAAGTCCCAAAGAGGAAAGGATATGTAGGTCTCAACACTGTCCCACCTGAATGTTGACCTGTTCTGCCTCTTGAGCCATCTTTAGGGCTGCCTCCAGTTTCTGGATGCAGTCCTTGTTCTTGTACTTTTTCTGAAATGGAAGATTAGAATCAATAATAGATATTGGAGAAGTGACCCCAACATACTACTACCCACTGCACATTTTCTTTAACTACATTTATTTCCAGTTCCTGGTAACATTATGATGATCCTATTATTAATCTTCTGGGATCAGAAACATCCTCTCCTCCATGCAACACCTCTACCAATTCCTAGCAATATTGTCAACAAATATTTTGGTGTCTTCTTCAAAACGAATCCCGTGGAAATTTGAAAAGAAAAGATTAAAGAAGTTTAAGTGATTCCACTTTTAAGCTTCTCACAAGTTTCTTTAGCTCCAGCTGCCTGATATGCTTACTGCCTGGGCTGCTAGGCCTCTGTACATTCGTAACCCAAACTGACTGGGAAGATACCACTGGATAGCTAATGTGATGGTTCTCAACAAGGGCTCCC